ATATCCATTGGAATAATCATTCCAACGGAAATATAAAAAATTCCAACGGAAAATTTCCGTTGTAATGTAAGAGATTTTTTTTGTAGTGGAGGATATTATTAGTTGACCAATAGTGCCATTTTTCCATCCAACTCAAACGATTATAATCCATAGAGTAATTTCATATTCAATTATTTAATAAAAATCCAACTCAACTCAACTCTCATATTTTTCATAAATATAATTAAATAATATCAATCAGTCATTTTCATGCTTCACGTCAATTTTAATTTACTATTCATCCATTCACATAATTTTAACTACATGCCACTTCATGTAATATCTCTCTTACTTTTACATTATGTCAACTTTAATCATTACATTATAAGTATCATTTAATTTTGAACATACTTTATTCAAAATAACTCAATTTAACTCACTTTAATTCACCAAATTGGATTATAACCGGTTTAATCCATATTCAATGGCTCCTTAGGACACTCGACTTAAGCTTGGTTGGTTCATTATGCTTTAGAGCTCTCAGAAAATTAAAAAAAAAAAAAAAAAAAAAAAAAAAAAAAAAAAAAAATCATGAACACGAGATAAATACAGGTAATCTCCAGTCTATCTCTATTTCTTACATACCTTTTAATTAAGTTGTCACTAAAGAAATGATGAATTTCAAGTCATGTCTATCTCTATTTCTTATATATCTTTTATTTTAGTTCTCACTAGAGAAATGATGAATTTCAAGTCGTGTGGCAGTGGCATCATAGATGTTCTTGGACATCTCTCGGGGTTCATGCGTGAAAAGACATATTTCGAGACGTGCCCGATCGTCCAAAATTGAGTAGAAAGCTTTTCGACATGAGTAGTGCGACGAGCTGCCACGCCCAACTGTGTGCTTTAGTGAGACGTTGCGCCTGCAACGGGGCTTGGCATGCGCCTACACGCCGAGAGCTCGTACGCGCTTGTCTAGACTCGGAATCAGGTTCTATTTTTTTTCTACTTGTCTTCAACGAACCCTTCTAGAGCTCTATTATGCATACTGGAATAAATGTTGGATAGTTGAGGAATTCCAACGGATTTTTCTATTGGAATAGCTGTAGGAGTTTATTTGCATAGGATTTTCTGTTAGAATAGCTATTCTAACGACCGTTTTTTCCACGGATTTTTATATGTAGAAATATCCGTTGGAATAGCCATTTAACGGAATATATAAAAATTTCAGTGAAAAATTTCCGTTGAATGTAAAAATTTTTCTTGTAGTGACTAATTTATTTATATATTTACGCACTAGTTACTCTTTAATTATTAGCATTAATTCTTGAATCCGCATTTATGTTCTCGAAGACTCCCAATGCTACGTATTCGGCTAGGGTATTTTATAATTTAAAAAATATTAACCACTAATTGGCTAAATAAACATAAAACACGAGTTGTACTTAAACGAGTCTAGCCGAGTTTGATCATGCTCGGTTTATCAAATTATTCAAGCCTCTAATGTGCTCGATCATTGAATAACTTATTATATGGCCTGTCATTAAAATTTTGGAGGTTTACATGTCATTTCATTTACAAATAATTGAGATTAATTACAAGATTTCATATATTCAAATATCATTAATTTTTAGATCGGTATGCTCCACATATCATGAAGTAATATAAATGATATGTGTTCGTAGTATTTCAAATAAATTTAACTAATATATATATATGATCATGTGCAGCACCAATGCAAGTAAAATATTATAATTAAAATTATAAATTATATAATAAGTATATCACATTTTATAAATATGATCATTAGTAGAAATGAGCATTACAATTATGAATTATTTTACTTATATATAAAAACTACATACATTGGCATTACTATTTACCGTCCCCCTTTTACTACTCATCGCCCTCCCAATTACGTTTTTGCCCTTCACACTATCTCTCTACTTTCTCTCTCTACTTTTTCCCTCTCGACTTTTTACGTCTCTTTTGACCGTAAAAATTTTTTCGAAATAATCCGAAAAAAAATATCATGACATCGGCAAGACATTGAAGATTGACTATGTAATTTTTTTTATATTTTTTTTTACTTTGTTAATAGTTTTTAATTTTTTTTTTTTTTTTTTTTTTTTTNNNTTTTTTTTGCGCGTCGAGGCAAACGGACCGGACACCCCATGGTGCGTCGGTGTCCGGTCCGTCCGTCCGGACACCACATGGTGCGTCCGAAAATTCCGTCCGGACGCGCAAAAAAAAAATAAAAAAAAGGTTAAAAATTATTACAAAGTAAAAAAATATAAAAAAATACATAGTCAATCTTCAATGTCTTGCCGATGTCATAATATTGTTTTCGGATTTTTTTGAAATTTTTTTGACGGTAAAAAAAGCCTTAAAAAGTCGAGAGGCAAAGAATAGAGAGAGAAAGTAGAGAGATAGTGTGAAGGGCAAAAACATAATTGAGGGGGAGCGGTGAGTAGTAAAAGGGGGGACGGTAAATAGCGATTCATTACATTAAATGTAATGAATAATATGTTCTAATTTTTACAAATTTAAGAGGTTATAACTAATTAGTCGGTTAAAAAACATTAAAAATATAATTATTATTATAGCATCTATTTAAGTAATTAATTAAAGATTTTGTTATGTCATTAAAATCAATTATCCACATAATAAATTGCCTAATGTGATAAAAATGAAGAGATAATATAATTTTTAAAATATATAGCTTGGAGAAAATGTTTGGCTATATATATATATATTTTTTATAAGAGTGTAACTTTCATAACTTTTAACGCAAATTTATGATTAGCTAATACTAATAGTAATTCTAATATGATAAAATAATCAAAAATGTTATAATTAGGTCATGCAAAAAGTAACAATTATTTTCTATAAATAGATGAAAATAAAATGAGGGAAATTTTTTTAGTAATAATGAAAAGCCAGTAATTGTGTGTTTGTGTGTGTATATATATTATAGTATTTATTTATAAATAACTTACGCGTACAATAAAGGAAAAAAGTGCGCTCTCTACTCCAAGAACTCAAGAAACACAGTTTGGTTTTCAAGAAAGCTCTGCGACTGCCATGGCGGCCCCCCATCCGGAACCACCAGCGCCGTCCGGCCCTCAGCCCCCCCACAGCCTGACCCCTAACAGCCCGCAGGGCCCTCCACCTTCCGTCAACCCAACCTCCGACAGCCCTCCGCCCTCCCTCAGCCCGACCTCCAACAGCCCACAGGGCGCTCAGCCCTCCACCTCCATCAGCCCACATGGCCCTCAGCCCTCCCTCGGCCCAACCTCCAACATCCCGCAGGGCCTTCAGCCCTTCCACATCTCCGACAACCCACAGGGCCCTCAGCCCTCCCTCAGCCCGACCTCCAACCGCCCGCACGGCCCTCAGTCCTGCATCACCTCCAACAGCCCACAGGGCCCTCAGCCCTTCCTCAGCCCGACCTCCAACAGCCCGCAGGGCTCTCGGCCCTCCCTCAGCCCGACCTCCAACAGCCCGCAGGGCTCTCGGCCCTCCCTCAGCCGGACCTCCAACAGCCCGCAGGGCTCTCGGCCCTCCCTCAGCCTGACCTCCAAAAGCCTGCACGGCCCCCAGCACCCTCCTCATACCGGCGTCCCACAGCCCGCAGGGCCCTCAGCCCCCCCTCAGCCCAACATCACACGGCCCGCAGGGCCCGATGCCCTTCCCCAGCCCGGCGTCTCACAGAATCTTGATGTTCATGTTCCGGGTCCCATTGCCCCACATCCCATTGTTCTCTTATTGGTGAAAAGTGGATGGCTTGCCCTTTTCTGGGCTGTGCTCGGAGTGGCAGCCGCCACGGTTTGGCCCATCTTTGTTTGGCAGTTTCACCATAAGTGGACTCAAGCCCTAACTATGGTAGGATCATGTGTAGTTACTATCCATGTTTATGCCCTCGCATATGTGCTCAGGATGAAACCTGTAATGAGAGATAGAAGAAATTGGACACAAGGAATATTCTGGACTCTACTGCTTTCAATAGTTACGATACTAACATCCGTGCTGCATGGTACTACCTACCGTGGGTTAGTAGCCCAAATCATGGCCTCAATTGCTGTATTTTCTGTGGTAGAAATCGGTCAACCCATTTTCGATTATGGACTGCTGCAATATTATCTCCGACTTCCCGTTCAGACGACAATTCAACACTTCAAAGGCCGTGTTTCCGCTTGGCACTTCTTTACCGTAGGTTTGCTGATTGTAGCTACCGTTGTTCAAGGTTATTTCTTGCACCTATTTCAGCACGAGGATGCGGAGCCTATTGTAGCTGATAATGATGAGACCAATAAGGAGGTTATTGAGTTTTGAAGAGATTGTTGAATGTTGAAGAAGAGCTTGTAGAGGATTGCAGCAGGAAGCTTGTTCCTTTTAGGATTTTCATTTTTTTCTCATTTGCTTTGTAGTCATAGACTCGTAGAAATTATTGTTCGATGGATCGATGTTGTTATTTCGGCATGTATGAGGCACCAATACAGAATATAAAAGAAAGATATTCGAAACTTATCATGCAGAGTTTTGTTGATGGGAATTTGCTATAAATGAGCAGATGTGGTTACTATTTATTAATCAACTCTACAAAATATACTTCCAATAAAGAATTAATTATAAAGAGTGTTCCAGATATTACCATCCTTAAAATGGAGAATCAAGGCGACCATCAGCAAAACACGCACCATCGATATATACCCATTGTTTGAGGCATTCTACATGACCCTGCAAGGTACATACATATACTTTGATCGAGAAAGGGAAAAAAAAAAGTTTGAGCATGGCCTCTAATTGTCTCAATCAAAACACTTGACGCCTATTTTTTTCTACAAGGTAATTTATACCTTGAAACGAATCAGAACATGGCCGTAGTGAACTCCAATGGTTCCCTAGACTTTGGTGAAATTGAGCTTGCTAAGCTTGTTGTAATTCAAGATTTATTCAATGGGAAAGTGGCATTATTGTTGGAAATTTTGAGAGAAAAAAACCTAAGCAGTCCTTCCGGTTCAAATGGTGCTCGACACCAAGTAGGTGTCCTCACGGAGTGGTCCAGCACCTGGAGAACTTACAGTGCAAGCCTGCAAGTTCAAAACATTAAAATACAATGAACATCGAATATTAATAATACATTGATCATCCTTCCTTTGAAAGTGATATTTTGGTGTAAATACTAAAACGACCCCAGTTTACAGCTTAAGTGCATAAAACCCCACCAGTCTTTCAATAATGCAGATACTCCATACTCCAGCAGATGAGTCTTTGTAATTTTAGTACATGAACATAATTTTGTTTCCATTTTTTTCTGACCTTTAACCGTCTCCAACCCAGTTTCTCATATAGATGATTAATACCCCCAAACTTGTCTGTCCACATAACCAGCTGCGGTCCCAAGTGTCCTCTCATCCCACATTTTACCTGTAATAAGTTAAACATAATTCAGCCTCTTTATACTAACCAGAAGGTTACTGCTGGAGTAAGATTCTTAGCTTATTACAGTGTATTTTTTGGGCCTGTGATCGTGGTACACCACAAAACCCCAATCCGGTACGTAAAGAGAGAATGTCGTGACCAGGTAGATCACAAATACAACAAAGCCGCCCATCCTGGTAACACAAAAATTAAATTGATGCATATTTAACGATAATTTGCTTAAAGGGTAACGGAGTCATTGGGGAAAGTTGTCTACCATTGCCATTTGTAGGCAGTGAAAATTGAGAAATGATCGGATTCTAGGCTTGTCGACTTGACCTTGGTGGTCAGAGTTTCGATTAAAACCACAACAATGTACACAAAAGATATTCGTTGTTTGGACACTCACAATAAATTATAAGACACAAGCAAAGAGTCGGATTGAGGTTCCTAACTTAAATAAAGCAAAGCTTCTTCTGACCTGGAGATGCCGAACCATCGGGTTATCTTCAAGTCGGCTCCATAAGTTAAATGATCCGGTGCATGAGAATATCCTCCTGCCAAGTTTGAAAAGAGAACATCGATAACTAATAAACACCATAATCGAGTCTGACTAAGTTGCAAGCGTGTTTGGAGATTATCAGAAAGAATCCAATTAACAAAAATTAAATATACACATTATATGCATTATTTTAAATTAGAAAAATTACAACATCACATTCATTTCAACATTATGGAAACCAATATTATATTCTACCAGCCAAATATAAAAGAGATCCTTCAACAGCCAAGTGTTGTGCTTCCCTTCTTGTTCTACCAACTCCTTCACCAACTCTTTTCCCAGCAAACAAGACCTGCAGAAGATAAACATAATACAACTGCATTGGTCCTTGGCAATATCTATATAGTGTCTCAACTCGTTCCTCATTTTTCCAAATACATTCATTTAAATAAATAAAATTGGGGAAGTATGGATCCACCTATGTTCTCTGTATGTATCCGAGTCTGAGTAAGGGAGAGAGTAAAAAAAAAAAGAATGTAGGGAAAAGGCAGAACATTAATTTTTTATTTTTTTTCTCTAATGCAAAATTCCTCCATTGGAAAGTCCGGAATCACCTCTACAAGAAACTGTAATTCTGTGCTTGACAATATAGATTGCTTGTACTCCACCTACAGGTATTTGAAGTAACCATTTGAGAAATTTATAAGTGAGCCACAAAACAGTAAGAAAAGGTAAGGCGTCAAGTCCTGTTTACTACCTTTGTTCCACACTTGAACGCGATTCCTGTAATGCTCCAGTACATGTTTCAGGGGTAGGGACCAATCTGTTCAGCTTCAAGCTCGAAATCTTTACTTGATGAAGGTGGCTGAGGTACAGGGCCATCTCCACCTAAAAAAATATGGATACACAGATAAAACATCGATTTCATTAATGAAACTAAGCAAGTACTTGTGTTTTAACTGTGATTGAAACATACTGTCAAACTCATCTCAAGAAAAATAATATTACATTAGGTTCCGAACCTTAGGTTTCAAGCAAGATCGGTCTTTTGGGAAGTGCAATTCGGATGTGAAACTACATCAGCAGTTATCTGATAAATGCATCTTTTCCACTTACTTATGGTAACAAAAGCAGAATGCTTACCCAAAAAAGACTGATAATCAGGCGCCGATTGATTTAATATCAATTGTTCTTCTCTTGGAAATGCCTAAATGAATAAAATCTGGAAACTCTTCATCACTGAACGCTAATTGAAAGGTTAACAGCATGAATACAAATAAATCATTTACCTCCTTTGGCACTTTGGCTTTCGACAGCTCTACCTGGAGGAATCAAAGGTTCCACTTTTGGGAGAAAAGGAGGATGATGACCCTGATTCTTGTCTATTCGTAGAGGCTCCGTATTCAAATGGAACTCCTTAGGTGGAGCCACTCTATTTAATTTCCATGGACTCATTTCTTCTTCAATGGGAAACCATCCACGTGGTGGAACTCTTGGAACGGACACTTGCATGGGAGGTGGTGGTCCAGGTGGAGGAGCAGAAAAATGAGGCTCAGGTGGAAGCTCTCTCACGTCTTGACCATGTATTATTTGGGCCTGTGATTGTGGTACACCACGAAACTCGGTTTGTAAAGAGAGAATGTCGTGACCATGTAGATCGCGAATGCAACAAAGCCGCCCATCCTGGTAGCGCAAAAATTAAATCGATGCATATTTAACGATAATTTGCCTAAAGGGTAAGAGAGGCATTGGGGAAAGTTGTCTACCATTGCCATTTGTAGGCAGCTAAAATTTGAGAAATGATCGGGTTCTAGGCTTGTCGACTTGAGCTTGGTGGTAAGAATTTCTATTAAAGCCACAACAAAGTACACCATAGCTATTTGCTGTTTAGACACACACAATAAATTGTAAGAGGCAAGCAAGCAAAGAGTCTGACTAAGGTTCCTAACGTAAATAATGCAAAGCGTCTTCTGACCTGGAGAATGCCGAACCATCGGATTATCTTCAAGTCGACTCCGTAAGTTAAATGATCCGGTGCATGAGAATTTCCTCCTGCCAAGTGAAAAAAAAAAGAACATCAATAACTAATAAACACCATAATCGAGCCTGGCTAAGTTGCAAGCGTGTTTGGAGACTAACGAATCAACAAATTCTAAACTTAAGAGGCACGAAAATCAACTCCTGCATGCTTTGGAAGTTGTAAAAACGTGCGAGAAATAAAATCAGCCGCAAAAACAGTCTGGAGAAGAAGAGATACTCACTTTAGTTCCAGACATCATAGAAGAGAAAATGAAAAATATGCAGCATGCATTATCCATGCTTGTTTTACTTATATATGGGCAAATATAATGTAGGTGTTTTCCATATTATTGTTAGTTAAACTGGATAACAT